GCTTTCAGTGTGGAGGAGACAATAGAAAATAGAGAAGAAACACGGAAGGTTCAGATGTTACTTCTGTTGATTCTGCGGATTACCCTGTCACGAGGACACATGCTGATGGGTCCCTGTGCAAGGCTGTGTGCCATAGCATTAAAAAACGCCTGGTAATCCAAACCCAATTAGGGAGGTACATTTCCTGGGAAGGGTGGGTGGCAATACAATGGTAAGCACTCCCAAGCCTAAGATAAACAAGTTTTAGTTTAAAAATAACTTTAACGTTCTGTGCTACTGCTCATTTTGATTAGCAAACATAATAAAATAGAACTGCACACTCAACCCTACGTGCTATGTAAAGAACATAATTACATCGGAATAGATAACCTACATAAACCTACTTGAACTTATATAAATACGGATCTAGATTTATGTGCCTGGAGATGGAGGCTGGTGTGTAAATCTAACTATCAACTCCTGCTTCTGTAGCATTCATTGCTGGAGATACAGTCTTGCCGTCTGCAAGGTCCTCGGATGGAAAGGGAGCACAGTGATATCAGCAGCGTGATCACCATGTGAGTCAGATGCCAGTCCGTGTGAAGAGCAAGTCCTTTGATGGGGTGTGGCTTGGATAAATGGCCCAAGGGAGAGACCATGTCATATGGGCTTTTCCTCCAACCATTCTGACCTCCAAGCCAGAAATCTGATGGTTGTCCTGGAAACCCCAGACTTCCTGGACTGCCAGAACTGTCCTCCTGGTCTTTCTGTTCATTGGTCACCTTGTGTTCCTGTCCTTGCTGTGTCCCTCACTGGATTCACTCCACCTCCTCCTCCAGAGATTGTTTTTGTGCAGAGTTTTTCTCACGTGGTGCTACTGACTTGTTGTTACCATCTTGTTGTGTTGGCTGTCCTGTTCACATCAGGACCCCTAGATTTGGTGGCCAGTGGTCAACTGTGATCAAAATATTTCATGGAAAATTCCAGAGAGAGAGAGAGAGAGAGAATATATATTTGTATAACTATTGGTATAATAAGTCCTTATTATTATTATTAACCTGTATGTCTGATGCATAAATTAAACTTGATCACAGGTATGTATGCATAGGAAAAAGCAAAGTTTCTATAGGCTTTGATACGGTCCCTCACTTTGTGCATCCATGGATACAGGGACACTGCTATACTACAGGATTCTCAGAAGCACCCCAGGTTCTACAACTCAATGCCAGTAGCACCCCTCTTTCAAGTTGTGACAGTTTAAAATGCCCCTAGACGTTGCCACGTGTCTTGAGCAGGTGGGTAAATTGTCATGGTTGAAGCTCATTGGTTTGGCTCCTTTTCTGCAAGTCTGTTTCATCACCCACCATGACTCAGAAGGCTCCACATGAAAAGAGGGCCCACAGCCTTGCCTAATGCCTCTGAGAAGCAGAAGTAGTGTCTTGGTAAGTGACCGAGTGATGGATAGAAAGCCCTTACTTTGTGTGAAGTACAGTTCTCTGCATGCATACCCCTGCACTCTGATACTTGAAATCATGCATTAGAGAAAGACATTAACACTGTTGTTGGGGCTCCTGGGCTGTGCAGAAGAAAGCTACGAATTTGGATTGTTTTTTCCTCTTGAGGCTTGGCTTAACCTTGAGGTACCAGAACCAGAACAGCCACAGTCCACAGATTCGTCCCCCTCTTGTTCATTGCATATGGCTTTGGAACAAGAAAACAAACATTGGAGAAATGATCTAAAGCTTTCCTAAAGTCCTCAGGAATGGCATCTGAGGGGGAGCAGCTGAAAAACTTCACATTCATTAACTAAACCTTCTTGTTAGGTTATGTTTCCTGAAGTGCATTTGACAGTAAATGAAGTAGAAAAGATGGCAGCTAGAGGAAAAAATAAAATTCTGTCAGATTCTGCCACTAGAACAGGAAGGTAAAAAAAAAGCAGGAACCTGGGGAGGCATCGATAGATCAGCACCCCACACTGTGAGTATTTTCTGGCTGGGCATATTGCCTCAGATCAGAGCCCGCTGCAAAGCTAAATTCATGCAAGGCGCTCTGTTCAGATCCTAAGACCATGCATAACTCAGGCAACCTAGATAAGGTGCTTGTCAGGGCAAAAGCAGCAGGGATAGAGGGCTGACTGGCAGCTATGTGAAACAGTGATCAGAGAAGAGAAAGAAAAAGGCAAGACGTGTTCAAAAATATTTGGACTGTTTTAGACACCTTGCCCCATTTCAGCTGGATTACAATTTTGCCCAAACCTTGCTTGAATACTCAGAAGGTGAAACCAGTTTGCAGGCAGTTCAGCGAGCAGGCGCTGGCTTTGTCTGAAAACATTCGGTTTTAAACGACCTCATGGGATGCTCTGCATTTCCTGATCCTTCCTTCTGCCCATGTCCTCTTTTGGAAAAGGGAGAGATTCAGGAAGAGAGGTGGCAGGCTGCTATGCATCCCCGCAGGTGCCGGAAGTATTATTTGGTTAATTCGGCCCAAGCCAGTCTTCCTGAAGTTGGGCAAACCTGTTTTCTTTCCCTATGATGTATCACTTAGAAGCACCAACTGCAAGGATTTCTTATGTTCGCACAAAAAAGGGAAGCAAACAGCTGGTAAATGTTTCACAGATGGTAAAGCTCTTGGCATCTCTCTCAAGAGAGGGCCACCCATGCAGATGGCTCATTATTTTAACATTTGGATTTTCATCTTATTAAAACATCTTTTTTCCCCCCTGGTTTTATTTAGCATCATAAATTCTCTTACACTTTAGCAAGCGACTGAGCGATTTGAAGATGTGCTCGCTGAGGAACATCCTTTGGCTGGGACATAGATTGGTAACATCATTATTCCCAGCTTTGATCTCAACGTGATGGGTTTCAATCTGATTAAAAATTCCAATGAAAGGGAAAGCGTAGAGTAGTGAATTTATCAAGCAAAAGTCCACGAAGTCCACATAGTGGCTGAATTATTCAGCAGAACGCTAAACCAAGTGAAATGGGGGGAAATAGTTTTATTTGATGCATAAAATCCCTATTACTATGCAACATGCATATATAAAAATAGAGAATGCACAGAGGGGGGAGATCCACAAACACACCCAATCCACATATGGAGAAAGACTTCTGCACCATGAAACATAATAGCCAAAATCTAAACCAAGTGGTGCCAACTCTTGGGAGCATCGATGGGAAAGGGTCAAGATTTCAGAGGCTTGTACCCCACCCACTCAGAGTTCACAGGACTAAACTTGCCTCTTCTAGTTGATAGTTGATAGTTGATTCGAGGTGCAGGAGCAGGTTGGCTGTCACGTGGCCAAATGGGAAGAGACCACGGACCCACTGCACTAACTTTGTTGGAGGAGCATCTCTATCTTCTCCTTTCCAAATATTTCTCCCAAGGACTGGGAAAGTTGTGGTCACTTCAGCATCTCTAACTATTGTGCTGGGGTGTGGGAACTGTTGGAAATGCAAATGCAAGAGGCAAAGCAATGTAATAAGAACAAACCAATCTATTTAATGTGGTGTGTGACGCTGGCCTACATACAGACTCAGTATTTGTGCTCTCCCAAATGGGCCTTATGGAGCCAGGCCTGTGCGTGCCACGTTGTAAATGTTTATTAGCAATGGTACACAATGCACGTTATGAATCCATGGAGCTCAGAGCTGGCTCACTTCGGAGGTCAAATCCAAGTCCCTTAAATGCTGAGAAAATGTTAATAGTTGCCAGCACAAGAACTGAGCAGTTGAGAATATACATAGGTATGTTAAATGGAGGCTCTGTTCATTGACTTCAATCACCTCTGGTACCTCCAGCCTAAAGCATTAGCCTGTGTGCTGCATGCTGTGAGCTACGGGCTTCTCCATCAGACGGGAGGTGCTGAGAGTGGGGTTTCTCCAGCAGGAAGTGGAAAGGGCAGAGCTGATTAGGCATACTAGGAGCTAACTAACCAACTAGGGAGCTAACTAAGAGTTGTAGAGAAATGAGAGAAGTTTTTATTTTATCTGATTTCTTACAAAGCAGATTGCTTCTGGGGGTCCGCTCCTGCCTGATGGTTTGGGGTACCCATTGCATGAATTATAACAGCAAGAGCACGGGGCCTGAGTGTGCTTGGGTAGCACCTCCACTGGTGATCCTTTTTCCTTGTCAAGCATAGTATGCTCTCTTAGCACCGAAGCCGGTGGTTCAGCAGTGGTCCCCAAGCTGCGGCTTCTGCATCATCTGGGCTCCTCCTGGGCCCCCTGGATCCAGGCCTCTGCAGGAGGGGCCCTGTGTCTGCGCTTTCACAAGCCCTGCGGGTGATTCTGATACACACTCAAGTTTGAGAGCCACTGCTCTAAGGCATAATAGTTTGTCACTCCACCAGTGCCCAGGAATCTTTTTGGTGACAGACATCAAGTATGATTCCTGCAAAATCCTGGCAGCAGAATACATTTGTTTATTTAACTGCATGCAAAATACTTGTCAAGACGGATTCCAGGGGCTCTTTTGCATTCCCCTCTCCTGCATTTATTCCACCTGTGCCTTTGGAGACTGCCTGTCTCCCATCCACACTCCCAAAGTACAGAGCGTTTTAAAAGCTCCCCACTCCCACCCTTTTCACCTAAAATTGGCAAATGAGACAGAGGAACGAACGCCGCACCTAGTTTTCTGCATCAAGCAGGAAAGACTGACAGATTTCATTACATTTGTCACAAGGTCTAAAACTCCAAGTGGGAGAAAATAATCCCACTTAGTAAAAACATCTCACTGTACCTTTGAGTCAGAAGGGAGAAGTACAAAAAGTATTGTTCCTAAGAAAATTGCAAGGCATTCGGTTGTGTTTTCAGAAGTGTGATGACTATTCACCAGATTCTGGTTGAGGTGGCTGAAAACTCCCCCCCCCAAACTATCTGGGTACTGGCAATACACGTGCCCCTTGCGGAATGGCATAAGAATCAAAGGGGAAATGAATTTCCTGTGGTGCTGATGAGCTACTTAAAATCGCTCCCATCTGAGCGTGCCTCTTTCCCTCATGCGCACTGGAAACCATTTGAATAATGCACGTTACTCAGTTGCATTGTGAGCTCTGAAAGCCATTTAATGAAGGTAGACAGGCTTCCAAGAAGGTGCGTTTTTTGACTAATGTAGGTACTCCTGGAAAAATCTTTCCCCAACACGGAAAGCAAGAATTACTGGGCGAGTAGAAGAAGGAATGCTATTACCATGTCTTGTCTCACTCAATCAAATCGAATGGAAACAACCTCGGGTTAAATGTGATCGCTTCTAGGTGAGTGGTAGCCTATGCAGTGTATATGCCGAAAGGCTGCAAATCGATCATGTTTTAATAAATCAAACTGTCTTTCTATTGACTTCCATTATATTATTGAAGTTGCTTTGTCTCTTTCCAATTGATCATCAATTAGCAGTGGCTTCCAGCTCCAACCTTTCTGTTAAATACTTAACAATTTGCTTAAACAAATGAGCCACATGCCTAGCTAAATAAAAAAAAATTATGAGTGTCTAGGAAGTTTGTAGACACTTATTTGTACTTGAAAGCATGTTCTAATAAGGTAAATGTGTCTCATAAGAGTGGTTTGTCATATACAATTTATTTGGTTAAAGGAAGGCACTTGGCAGGGGGCAGCTTACGTGTCACTATTCCCAGTAATTCTGAGTGAGGTGGACAGCAAAGGGTCACAGGGAGCAGTGTGAGCTTTGGAGTCACTCCTGGACAGAGCCCACTCTGTTACATCTCAGCTATGGACTGGTCCTCCATGATCCTAAGTTTGGGTCTCAATAACCTGAATCCCAAGTTTTCTTCTGCCTCACGCGGTTTGTAGTGAAGGGTTAGCTAGTGTTTGTACTGTTAGCAGAATGTTGGGCCCTCAGTGAACACCCAAATAAAATGCTGGCTGGTGCTATTACTATTACGAAGCACAGGTATTTTGCCGATGCCAAACAGAGAGTGCATGCAAATGCCCATTTGGAAAACCACTGCACAGTTTAAACCATGGTGGCAAATCTTAAACAATCACTGTTAGTGACATCTCCAAAGAGAGGCTCAGCAGAGTGAGAACTGGTCTCAGCTAAGCAGAGATGCTAGAGGTTATGATAATGAACAAATGAATCCCATTTTCAAGCCCAACCCTAGAGTATCTGAAATTTTTATTAAAAGATAATCATGCTCTTCAGAATAGCTATTGACACGTAAGCATTGCATATTGAATATTGGGCACCAGGGTAAACACATGAATTAATGTATTTAAAACGTCACAGTAACTCAGCAAGGGAATATAGTTATTGTGCATGCGATCAAGATACAGAGAGATGATAAGCAATAGATGATACCGAGAGAGAAGTCAGTGATGGAGCCAGGGTTTGAGCCTCAGCAAATCCTCTTATGGGAAACACATTCTGCAGACAGAGGGAGACCGCAGAATTCATGGCAGCCTCTGTTTTGCAGATGGAGATGCTAGGGTGGTGTTTAGAGCACGCTTAGGTTTGCAGTAGATGCTCAGGGTGTAGGAGCTGGGTGAGGAGAGGACCATGAGACAGGAAAGGCGGGTTACCAGCACATCCAAGAAAGGCAGTGAGAGTCTTCTTGTCATTCCAACATTTATTCTCCAGTGACTAGCAACCATAGGGCAGAGACTTCCCAAAAATATTATTTCCAAAATTCATCTTTAAGGTCTTTATTCATATTCATCATTTCTGGTTTGACTGTGTAGTCCTTGGTATCTCTACATGAGTGTGCTCCAAAAGGGGGAGCATCTCAAACTGTCCCCTGGGGAAGTCATCTCATTTCTCTCCTTCCTGAGTCCCTTTGATCACTGTTGTCTTGAGCTGCTGGGCATGACTTTGCTTTTCTTGCTTTACATGAAACTAATCCATGTAGCTATGAGTAGGTTTCCAAGCTCAAGCAATGCTTCTTGAGGGATGGATTTTCAGGAAAGGAACTTGGGTCAAAGGAATAAAGGAGAAAATAGATAGAAAATTCGAGTTTCCATACTGGGAACCCCATCCCTGATAGACAAAACAATAATCAGCAAAAGAAATACAGCCCTCACCCAGGACTGAAGTTCCAGGAGTCTTGAGATGAGCTGGCTCCAGGCTCGGGCCTTTTCTGGTCTACTCTCGTCTGGCTCTTCTCCATCTCCTCCACTCTTAGATAAACAGCCCTTCTCCGCGAGCAACAAGTGTCTGGGGGCCCAGAGCTTCATGCTTACTCTGATCCAGCAGGAGCGAAGAGTCTACCTAGGAGAAGTGACCAACAACAACCCCACATTTGAATCGTGTTGGCTTTCATTAGTCTAATGCGAGCCATGGCTGTTGACCTGGTCCTTGTTGACAGAATGACAGATTCAGCACTGTTGGCTCAACATTTAAATCAAAGGTCAATATAAGTACTCACTAGAGTGGCGGATAGTGAATATTTTAGACTGTGTGGGTCTCACCATCTCTGTCACAGTTGACATAGCCATGGCAGCCTGAAAGCAGCTGAAGAATTCAGAAATAGAGATGTCCAGGTTCAGCTTCAACAAATCAGGCCTAATACTGGGGCAGAGCTCTCGGATTCTTAACTATTGCCTGGCAGTGGTACATCTAATGGTACCCTAATAAACTTGGGTCCTAGGTGACCTCGTCACTTTCTAGAAGCTCACTTCAAGACGTACAAGCTCATAATTTTTTTTAAAAGAAAATTCTACTACTTGTTTATGTGTCTCAAAAATCAGTAAGCAATATTCAAGATATGAACCAAAACAATGCTTCTGAAAACCTCTCTCTCTTTTCTTTAGGTAAGAGTTTCCCACCTAACAAATCCCCAAACACTCATCCTTACCAGCTGAGTTATTTTCTCTTCCCTTCCTTTCTTTTGGGATTCAAGTCCCTCCCAGATCTTTAACATGTGACCAGCATCGTGCTCTCCCCTCCCCCTCCCCTCCCTCTCCCCCCTCCCCTCTCTTCTCCTCTCCTTTCCTCTCCTCTCCTCTCTATCAGTCTCTCATTCCCTCCCTCTATCCTTCCCTCTCTTCTATTCTGCCTTCATTTCCTATAGAGTTGAAAATTACTTATACCAACTTTTCTCTGTTCTTCGTCACAAAACATTATGAATCTGGCTGTCAAGGGTTGCCCGGGATTCAGTGTTGGACAGGGGAGTGGATAACGCAGCACTGACATGTCAGCGTAGCTTATCTTTTTCCAATGTGAAGAATTAAACCTATGGTGTGTTAGCAAAAGATTGAAGGGTGGTGGTGATCTTTTTTGGGGGGTGGGGTGGGAAAGCCATGGGAGGTAGAATCCCATTTGAATCTGAGTAATTTCATTTCTTTCAAAAACTAAAATACCTGAAGGGAATGTGACAGAGTGAGAACATTCATTATATTTGGAAAGTGGGTACCCATTGCTGTCTCATTTTCTGTGCATTTCAGAGATATTTCATATTTAGAAATTAAATAAGTCAAAACATTGAAAGAAATAACATCTGTGAAAATGCTTTGTTAACTTCCAGTCCACCAGACCGGAAGGTCTCAGACATTAGCACAAACTGAGTTCTTCGGAAGCTGTACAGAGCGGAGAGAGCCGAGGCCACCCTGGGCAGACCCCGGGGTGGGGGAGAATCCCGACAAGCTCTTGGTGCTGCAGTGCTGGCCAGGAAGGGGACTGCGCTTCACCCCGCAGCACACAGCAGGGTCCCTGTGGGCAAAGACCCCAGGACCCCTCTGTCTCCTGCTGCCGCCTTGATTCCGGACACTTGGTCAACATCGGCCCAGTGTTTATGCTAAGGACTCAGTGCATGGGGGCACAGAAAGAATCCTTCCCTCATCCTTAGAAGGGACAAGTGGCCCCTACTGAGGACAAGCGAGGGTCCTGGGAAGTGTGAGTGGGGGAAGGTCAGGGAGCAGAGGTGGCTTTTTTTCTTTTCAAGGGCCTGGGGACACATGAATAAACCAAGAAGGAAGGGTGGATTCTGTGCTGTCTCTGGCCACCGGAAGGGCCCTACAACCTGGCTCCACAGCGGACTGCGGGCTGCAGGGTGCAGAATCCTGACTCTACTCTGGGCTGTGCCTTCTTCCCGGGACAGGGGACAGGTGCTGTCCTCCCACAGGGCGGCTGCGCGTGCTGCTGGCTCTGCTTTGCACCCTCCCGCTTACCCCTCACAGCTCAGCTCCAGTGGTGTTTCTTCCAGAAAGGCGGCACCTCCAAAGTCAGCGCTGCAGTCCTCATTCCTGGAGAACACACTCTCCTTCACAGCGCTCCACAGTTTGCAATTGTGCTGTGTTGTGCACCTTTCGATCCTACAAGGAGCTGGGTCCGCATCTGGTTGTTACTTACCTTTGTACCTCTGGCTCCCGTGGTCCACATCCTGTGCTCAGCCAGTGCACGCTGGCTGCATACACGAGATGTAAACATGCACTCCTGCTGTGGTCTGGATGTCTGTCCTTCCCCAAAACTTACCCACTGAGGCACGAGCCTCAGCACAATAGGATTAAGGAGTGGGGACCACTCAGTGTTAAATCATGGAGGTCTTCATGAAAGGGGTTAGTGCTCTTTTAAAAGAGACCCCAAAAGCTAACTCGCCTCTTTCACAGGACGATACAGTGAAAAGCATCAGAGGGGACTGAGACAATGGGTGCTCACCAGACACTCAGTCTCTCTCTCTCTCTCTCTCTCTCTTTCTCTTTTTTAGTTTCTGGGGATGGAACCCAAGCTGTCGTGGATACCAGGGAAGCGCCGTATATTGAACTAGTCTGACACCAGCACCTCGAATTGGGACTTGCCAGCCCTCAGCACCATGAGAAACACATTTCTGCTCTTCGTGCACCACCCCTGGGACTCCCTCCCCCAGCCGTGCTGCTTCATCATTACGTACTGGAAGTGACCACGTGTAGACCCATGTGTATGTCTCCGTTCTTGAAGGTCACTTCAATTCTGGGGTGTGTGCTCTTATCATTTGAAGTGCCCTCTCCCATTTTAGGTTACCTGAGGCACCACCCCTTCTCCTCCTAACTTCCAGCTTAGAGTGGAAGACAGGACAGGAGGCAGCTCCCCAGGAGGAAGGAGAGACGAGCCCAGAAATGACAATACAAGCAGTCCCGGAAGGGGAAGGGGCGCAGAGGGGAGGGGAAGCCCTGCTGGGTGGGAGTCTCCAAAGCCTGGGGGGAGGGAGGTCCAAGGATATTTATTAGGCACAGAGTGAAGAGCTAAGAGCCAGAAAGACGTTTTATTATTAAAATATTGGTTGTCCAGTTTTCTTTCTGAAGACGACCAAGCGCTGGCATCAAGGAGCCTTTCTTTAGCACCACGTAAGCCTCAGGGCTGTTGCGTTGAGCCGTGAGCCGGGGGTGGAGGGACTCGGGCTGTCTGAGCACAGCTTGGCACCTGCAGGCCCTCTTTTTTTAAAATCACTGTCCAGTTTATGAATCATTGTTTCTACTCACCTTAGAAATAGTCGCTCTCTACATTTTCTCTTCCAGATTGAGCTTGCACTGGCTTTTATACAACCCTTCCGTGTCTTCCCAACTTAATGAAAGCAGAGCGTGTTCATTTCCAGCTACGAGGAACATATGAAATAAAAATAATAATATTCACCTTGCAGGGAGAGCTTATGTTCTTTCACAGTGTTAATACACACATATGCGTGCACGTGCACACACACACACATACTTCACAGTGTGTTTCTTAAATAATGTCCAAGACATTGTTCTGAAATCAGCTCTGTCTTCACACCCTGGTCCGTGTCACGCCTGAGACCTAGCATCGCATTCCGTGTTATTCCCTGCAGTATTTGAGGCTTTCTCCTAAGAACGGCATTGATACTGCTTTACAGTATTTTAGTATGAAGTGATGGTGAACACCATTGAACACGTGACTTTGTTTACCCATTAAACCTGCCCATTTTCTCACCTTTGCCCCTCAGACCCACGCCTGCCCAAGGCCGCCCACCAGCCCCAGGAAGTCATTACTGATGATTCTCAGCGGCTTTTTGAAGTAGAAATCCAAGGTCCGGTCGTTCATCCTTTCATTCACCTTTTCATCAAACAGTCTGCTTCCAAGAAGTACCTTGTATTCTAACACAGTGGTGAGAATAGCCTTGCTTTTGTAGGTAAACACCTAGAGGAAGAAAAATAAACAGGCAATTTCAGAGGTGGAAAGGTGAAGTTGTCCATTGGCGGTGAAGGGAATGAGTTTTCCAAAAGAAAAAAATTAGCAGGGAGACCACGTTGGGTGAGTGGGAAGAACAGGCGGAGCACACTGGAAGGAGAGACGGGGCGTAGGCCAGAAGTTCCCTGAGCTTGGTGGGGTGAGGGAGAGCCGCGAAGGAACAGGGCCATGTCAAGCAGGACTCCACGGGTCTCGGGAGGCAGCCGGTGGTGTGGGAAGCCACCGAAGGAGCTGCAACGGAGGAGTGGAAGTCTGCTGCCTGGCTTGAGGCTGCTAATGCTGGGCTGGGAGACTTGGAATGGAACGATGGCCAGGGAGGAGGACAGTGCTGGTGCCCAGTAAGGGATAGTCTCCATCCAATGTCAAGCCACCAATGTGGCTCCACGGATCCAGGTGTTTCCACTCTGAGGCTTGGACAGAAATTTCCAATGAACTTAAAAAGTCAGCAGCCATCTCTGGTGGACCAAGCCCAGCTGGATGGAAGAGCCAGCAAATAAGACAAGCAGCATCAAACAGCAGGGCGACACTGAATCACAGAGGAGGGCCCCTACCCCCGAGGGGGCTGAGCCATTGGAAAGTTAAAGCACCACACAGATAGGGGTAGGATGCTGACTTCACAGAGATCTCTGAGCAGTAAAGACCCTTGCAGTTGGTTGACTCCACACGAGTCTCTGGGTTAAAGAAACAAAGCAGGGCTCCGCTCTGACCTCTGACCTCTCTGAGGCAGGAAATAATATTTGCAAACGTGAGGTGTCTACACTGTGGTCAGAGGGAAGGTCAATCCTGGGGTTACTTCCTTAGAAGTCCAGCAGTGTCAGTGTCATTTACGACTCAGCGTCCAGCATCTGTGCCTCACTGGCTTGACTGATTCACCTGGGGTCACCAAACTGAAGCCTCACCTGGAAATCTGAAGGACTGAGGCAAGAGAGCAGAAGTGTGGAACTACCAAGCCCTCAGAGCAACTGCTGTGGGCATCTGCCTCCAGAAACAGTGACACGAGTGTGCAGTATTGTCCCAGAGATGTTTTTGAGTATATTTTTCCAGCCTCGTAAGGAACGCAGTGTGAAATGATACACAGCTACCTGTGGGTAAATGTAGACGGGGGGGGGGGGTTGGAGGTGTTCCTCAGTGGTACTGTGCTTGCCTAGCAAGTGGGAAGCCCTATAGCCAATCCTCAGCGCTGCAAGAAAAGAAAATAATTAATTAAAAAATAAATATAGGTGTATGCATGAGCAAGTTCTTGAAGCACACATTTTGGATGGTGGACTTTGGGAAGAGATTGCACATTAAGAGCTGAATGAGATGCATATGTGTGCTTAGGTGTGTGCCTAACACACCTGCTGGGTATGCTAGTTGTGGATTTTGCAAGACACCTATCATTAACCATTGATGTTTTTAAAAATAATTTGTCTAGGGTATCCTCAAAAACTCTTTCTTTCTACCTAGGGGAGAAAACTCCGGGTGGTTTTTCTCCCCAGTATCTAGGAAATGTGCTCGAACCCTCGGCAGGGCTTGGTGGCAGCGTGATGCCCAGTGACAGTCAGAATCGTTGCTTTTCCTGAGTCCCTGGGTTTCCTGCCTTTCTGCAGTGTTTCTCAGGTGAGTTATTCCCTCCTCCTCCATTGCTGTTTATTTACACGGCATCTTTCTGCTCTTTTAATTATATCACTAACATATTTGTAAACTCATCCATTGCCCATCCCCCTGCTTTCCCTTCTTTGTATTTTCTCCTAAATATAACCATGGAAACAAAGCATTGCAGCTCCACAGACAAAGGGGACTCTGCAGGGCAGGCAGAAAGAACCCCAAGTCTGCCTTTAGTCAACTGCAATTTCTTGTCTTCCTGTTTTGTAAAGCAGCGCCTGGCTCTCATAATAAAAAGGGAGGAAACCTGATCAAATGGCATGCGTTACTTGAAAAGGGAATTAAAAGCGATGCCATGGTTTGCACTAGACCACGTTAGCCAAAGAGACTACCCCAAGTTGCCTAGGTGGTTTCCAGTCTGAAAGCAGTGTCTGAGCACACAGTGGCTCACTTGCTCAGGAAAGAGTCTCTTGCTTGGCTAACCGCCTGATCAGCCAGCGATTCACCCCTGGAACCACAGGGAGATATTGTAAGGGTCGGGAACAGGGTAGGGTGGAAAGGTAATTAGATGTCTCTGGAAGTGCGCATACAAATGAAAAGTGGAAGTTGATAAAGATATTTGAAGCACTCAGCTTTTGGGTAGTTTTCTTTGTAACTGAAAACAGTAACAATAAATATATTTATTGAACCCCTCCCAGGTCCCAACACTCCCTGAGGCTTGAGTTTGGCAAGCAACCCACTCACCCAAAGCCCCGCCCTCCAGGTCTTCCACGCTTTGGGAGGAAGAAGGAAAAACAAGGCAATGAATACTTTCCATAGTGTCATGTTCTGGAGTTCTGACAGAGGAAAGCGTTCGTGGCAGGTAATAGAGGTCAATCTGAGGTCAGGAAAGGTCTCTCTGGAAGGTGGCGTTTGACTTGAGACCCGAAGGTGAGCCAGGAAGCAAGCAGCCAGGAGAGGAGGCATCTGGGCAGAGGTGAATTGCTTGCCAAATCTCTGAGCTGCCAAAGATTTTGTGTTGGAGAAACAGGAAGGAGTCTAGTGGCCAGGGCACACTTACACAATTTACTGTGAGCTTAATAAATCTCAAACCATAAGAGAACCAAAGCCAAAAGGGAAAAATATGTTGGACATCTACGACAAGGATAACAAAGCAGAGTGAAAACCTGATCTATGGAAATTGTCATTAAAGGACTTTACCCCCTAGTGTCAAAACCGAGCTGGGTGAACATAAATGGCTCATGCTGGCAGCTTGTTGCCAGGGCATCAGTGTGACTTTTCCAGTTTGCTAACTTTAAAATAATCGGGGGTTTGAGATTTGACTCCAACTCTTACTGAACTTTGGCTCCTAGTTTGTCTCTTTCCTGTACCCCGTCTATAAAAATCTCATGAGAGAGTTATAGGAGGTTCTTAGATGGTGTTTAGACCAGTACCTATTCCAATATGCAAAATGTTAAGCATCATCACTAGTATTATAATTTTGTCAATATTCTCTCTGCCTCTGTATTGATAGCCTCCTTTCCAGAAGGTTGTGTTGTACATCATTTCATATTCCATCTACCAATGTAGATGAGGCTCTATAGAGTAATAAATGGCTTTATAAGCCAAAATTTGCTCATCGATCACAGTATCAGTTATATATCAAGTATTATGCAAGATTTGGAGGAAAAATAAAAATGTTTAAAAGCACAAATAATGAATTGTGATGTGCTTGGTGTTGGCATCAGAGGAATGAATCCTGAACCTGTGGCTTATTCATTATGTGAATTAGGAAGTTACTTAACCTCTTGGAGTCTTAGGCTTCACAGCTGAAGAAGGGCAGTAATACTACTACTAATAATATTTTGACAAACATTAAGCTGCTTGACTCGGGGAAGTAGGAGTCTAGTATTTGGATCCACATCTGCGGACTCTTCTATCAAGATGGCCTCAGCATGCACGAAGCAAGAATTTCAGGAGGTACAAACAGGAAACAAGCAATTGGTAGAGATTTACTGAAGCTCAGGCACAGTGGAGGTCTCAGTTCCCACCTTCTCTGTCCTCCAGAGGAAAGAGCTCAGAGACATTCTGGAACTGGTTCCAAAGGAATACACAGAAATTTTCCTAACAGTTAAGGGGAGGTTGACTCTCCAGATAGCAAAGACCGTCCAAACAAAGACACAGAAGCTTGCAACGTAGCAACTGATTAGGGAATCACTAAGTGACTCAGGACAGCTGTTTTGTGCATTGGAAGATAGGGAAATAGAAATTGAGAAGTAAGGCCAAAGAGGTCGTATTGTCTTTGTAAATAATGTGCTTATTTTACTCATGATAACCAACTTGTCCCACAGTAGCATCTAGGTCACCATTTGGAAAACTTTTTCAGCAAATGATTTTCTTTTCTGTTCAGCAGTTGAGAACAAATCAAAAATGTTGCATTGAAAGCTCAAGGTAGGGATGACCCCGTGCACATCAGCTGTAAACTGCCAAAGCTCCGCGTGAGGTTGATTTCTACACTGGCCCAGGGATCCCAGCTTCCTCCAGTCCCCATGAATCACATAGCGATCTTCAAGTGCAGCAAAGAATGTTGAATGGCTGAAAGATTATTTTGAGAAAGATCTTGTGAAAACAGAATTTGTGTTGGTAGCAAAAGGAGACACAACAATGGTTTTGGAAAGTAAGCTGGAGGAAGTTGATTCTCCCGTATAGAAAGGAGAGTTCATCAGGGTTAGACAATTACCCAGACATGTCAGGATGAAACTGGAGCAAAAATACTCCCCTGAGCAGGCAGCAGATGATGACTAGCACATCCTCACCACAACACAGGCAGCCACTGGGCCAACGTGACCTGAAACCGTGTGCAACACC